TTTTCTTCATTCTAAAAGGTTTTTTTAGCAAACTACTTTGGTAAGTGATAGTGACACCCACACCCTTTCGTTCGAACCATACAACAAACAGAGGAAAGCAAGCATAATTCTTTCTTAAAAATTTTCTCTAACATTAAGTTATTCATTCTGAAATTTTAATCAGCTGCTGTTTATCGATTTTTGGGATGCTTTCTAGAGTACATATAATGAATATATGTAAAATACAAAGCTTTCTTCTTCTTTTCACAGTGAAGCAGCCATTACTTTTGAAAGAGCCCAGGTCAATCTCAGTAGGTCGGATTTCATCAAGTAGATTTGAACTTCAATTGAATAGGATAATCAAATACTTTCTGAAGTTATCCGAGTACTTATAGAGTTTCCCGTTGATGTTCATTTACCGAATTCATTAGGTTTTGTTCAAATGCAAATGTTTTAGAAACAATGAAATTTAACAAATAGAAACTATTATATTTGACATGACCTAATACTATCCTATGCCAAGAAATAATCAGACTTTGTTGTGTTAAATTATAGTTGAAATAATATTTGACGATAAAACTCTTTTAGTGTTTGATATCGGAACATGTTGAGTTATATAAGAGTTGAACACTTTCATTTAAAGAGTTTTATTGACTTTGACAGCAGGTACCCATTTAGAAGAAGTTTTCTGCAGTTATCAGATACAAATGAAAAGTGTTGTAATTGATTGAGCATGGATACTGAGTGTTTCGTAGAAATCGTAGTAACAAGTAATTGGATTTGGAACACATCTCACTAGATATAGTCAAGCGAAATTGATTAGGACTGATGATAATATTTTACGCTCCCAGAACTCTATATTCCATGTTTTATCTATTATAGCATCTGCTGTAGTAATTATCTTATGTCTGCCTCTTGTGCTACCAGTCATACCTTTTTGAGCTCTGTTCTGATATAATTTCTGCAACATATCAATACTGTGTATGGTAGCAGTCTAAAACTTGACTAGGCTATGTAGATATGCTACATATTAGAACGGTATACCAAAATTTTTATCTGTAATAGCTTGTGTAATACCTACAAGTTCTCAAAATGTTTTGCCGTTTTTAATGCGAATGGGTAGCAAACTTGTTCAGTAAACTTATAATATTCTAGACATATATTTAATATGTGTTCGAACTGTAATTAAAACAGAATTTTGGTATAATGGTGCTATTTCTAGATATACGACTAAAGTTTGCCGGCATTTTGACAGGGTTGATCTGATATTGAGCACAAGCTTCTAACCCATGTAATATAGACTGTTCATGTTATACTTAACATAATGTTTGCTTATTTTAGATCCTATACTATCGAATAAGTAATATCTACTCTCTCTACCGTGGCTTCATGATCATTACCTTCAATTAGGCCCAGTCTTAATATATAGGTTGAATGAACCTAAGACCATAGATCGGTCCGCAAAGAGTTTCCACATAAAAACTACTTACACATAGGTAAAAAGTTGTATCAAGTCGTTTGGTGACGCTTTCAAGTAAAATGAAAATGACATGAGCAATAGCGTAGCTAGGAACTTTTCAGTCATGGGTCGTCTCCTAGCTAATCATTTTGAGGATTCGGCAACCCTGAGAAATCAAAAATCAATTGAGCTAAGCTATCTTAAAACTTATTGCCCTCCTGAAAATCGATGTTTATTCAAGAGAATTTCGCTACTCTCAACTAAGAGACTAGATCATCTGCTTTTTGTTGTACTGTTTCACCAATGTACTCTTCAATTTTCAAATATTTTAAATGTACAGTAGATATTTTTAATAAAAACAGCGTTTTTGAAGGCTCAGAAATTTTCTTTTTTTTAAAGACAACTTGAAAGAAAATTATAAATCTTTTATATTATTGAGTGGGAAAATCTCTGTTGAATCGAATGATGCACAATTTATTCAATTATCTTGAAAATTGTATCAGTTATTAGCAGTAGTTTGGGATTAGTTGAATTTACTTGCATTAGGAGCACTCCTATGATGAGTTCGAACAGCAAGAGAAAAAATGTTCCTAATAAGAACAATCTATGTAAGATACCTAAAAACTTAAATATTTTTAGTAAATTGATGTTTTTACTATTTAAACTTGAAAATTTTTTCATGCTTCCGTCACAAAAAAATGTTCTTTGACGGATAGTGCATTAACTTTCAACAATTTAAGACAAGCGGAGGTTTTTCTTTTTTATAAGTGATATTAGTTCAAAACTCAGGTATTACTAGCAAATGATACACTGTAATAACTCAATCACAATGTCGTATTGATCGAAACCATTAAAACTTCTATTGTATCTACAACCTGTTTTTATAATTGTGACCCTTTTATTAGAAAAATAATTCTCGAAAAATTTTAATAAGATATGGCGAGCAGTTGCATGTTGAACATAACATTGATTAAAGACAATAGGTGCAAGTAAGAGTAGAACAAAACTAGATTCAACGAAGTAAAAGATTACAAAACTAAACAAATCCTTGCTGCTATTAGATTCATCTTGATTTTCTTATTTCAACCTTTATGTTAGGCACAGGTAAAATCAAATTTTAGGTAACAATAAACTTACGATCGAAGGTGATGTACTGTAAGTTAAGGAGATTGATCACATTTGGATCAAATTAATGCTTTCACTACCACACTAACTAATTAAAAATATGAGGAATAACTTCTGCATTGAAAGCAGAAAACGATGCTCGAAAATATTTTTATGAATAAGCAAATCATTATAGTAATTTGTTAAGTATTAAATTTTGACAGAAAGCATTCATTTCTCTACCACATGAAATACAGTTGCCGCAAAAATGATTAATACGATTTCGTTTTTGATCAAAGATATTCAAAATAAGGACTTTTCAAGATTGGGTGAATATCAAAAAAAAAACCACACCACGTCTTTTAGTATTTTCACTATATAAATCAGGATAGTGGGCTGAACCTATATAAAAGGATAGTTCAATCATTGAAAATCATGCATATTTTGTACGCAAAAATTATTCGTACGATAAGCAAACTTGTCTGTTTTTGTTTGAGAAATTTTCAAAACAACTTCATAATAATAAAATAAAATAAAGTATAGATATGTCAAAATTGCTTGTTCTCCCAAATTGTTTTCATAGTTCGATGAAAAAAATATTCTAATCTTCAGCTGTTGACATGAATTACTTCTCAAAGCACAATTGCTAGTAATTTATATGAATAACTATATTATAGCTTGCTCTTTGTTCTATTTAATGACATTATTATGGACGTTTTTAGGAGTTTTCCCAAACAGAAAAGTCAAATTCACTTATCTGACGCATAAGTTTTGCGTACAAAACATGCATGACTTTTAAAGATTGAACTATCATTTTACATAGTCCCAGCCAACAATCTTGATTTTTATAGTGTAAACACTAGAAGACGTGAAGATTCTTTGATATGCACCAAACTTTAAAAATTCCTTATTTGAACTATGTTTGATCAAAGACAAAATCGTACTTATTTATTGTGTGACAACTATATATATGCATAACTATTTAAAAGAAAATTTACAACAAGTCAATATGTCTGCAAACATTTTTTCGTTTTGTAAATGTTACTCTGTTAATAACAATAACACACCAAGACGAATTAAACGAATATGTAAATAAAGTGAATAAAATAAATGGCAATATTCAATTTACGCATGAATATGAGAGTAATAATAATAATTACGGACGGCTTCGATGATAATATCTGGCATCAATATTATTCATAACATAAAGTTCATTAGTTTTTATTTTAAAAGTGCTTCTCTAGTTGACCGTATTCTGTCATACGTAAAGGATTTATATTCTTAAAATTATTTTAAGCTATTCTTTTCATCAATTTCTTTTATTCGATGAATGGGCATGCTATAAGTGGAATGAAATCTGAAAATAAAGACCGAAAACCTTTGATAATAGATTTTTTTACCCTACTTCCACAAGAAAATTCTGTAGGATGATTGCGTTTTATTTTTCTAAGGACATTAGAAATCAATAGGCATTGGACTTTTATTTTATCTTTTGAGATTCAATGTTATCAAAAGACATATGAACGAAAACCAGTCATTCAATCTTTTTTAATTTTGCACGTCTACTTTTTGTAAAATAAATCGATGAACAGATAACTATTTATAAACATAAGCCAGGGGTCTCCTATCACTAGTCGAGTATGATCTTTTTAGTAGATTGTTCTTTGTCTTCATGTCATTTTCTGGTACAATCAATTATGCTATCATTTGCAATTATTGAGACAGCTGGTGTAAACTTTTCAGACAATACCACTAAAAGTTTACATATTGAAAAGCATAATGAGTCATTCACAAATGGTTTTATCAGATTCTCTGTCTAGTCCAAATACTTTCTCAGACAACACCTTAATGTATACTGTTTCGAATGCAAGAACACTAATAAAAATGAAAAAAGACATTTTTTTCAGTAATACTGTTCATCTTGCTAAGGCTGTATAGATTAATTCCATGAAAAATCGTTTTTTTTAGAGCAAGAGTAAGAAGTAACATCAACGAAAATACCAAACTTTGGAGAAAAACAATCTAGCGTTCACTAGACGATGTTGTTCTCCGTTTGATATTCAAATAAATAGAAAATCAATTGAAATTTGCTGTAACTATTGAATTAGAACATGCCTATTAAAAATTCAAATACAACAAATTAATATTTGCTATGTAAATAATTACAAACCACTTCATTAATATGTACTCATCGTAAAGCATTCGAGATTATTTATCCTTTCTGTTTTCAATGGGTTAAGTAAGAATAAAAATTATTTATTAAGGTATATTTGTTTGTGAATACATATTAAAAGAATATAAATAGATTCTTTGTGTTGTGTTCTAAATCTAGAGTATGATCTTATTCATATATTGATATCTAAAGCTCCTGAGTTTTCAGTTTTATTCTTTTGACAAAAAAAAAACTACGTTTACAATGAAAAAACGTGTGGAATAAACATAAAAATTTCAATACACTCTAAGCATGGATAGCTTTATAAATCTTTTGAAAAAGTTCTTTATATTTTTTTTCGATTGCATATCGACGTGATTTAAATGTTGGTGTTAAAAGTCCATTTTCAATTGTAAATGATTCTTTGATGAATTCAATGGCTTTCACTTGTTCATATGACATTAAACCACGTTTTTTACCTTCACGAATCATGTCATCAAGTACAATTTGTTTTAATTTAGCATTTAATTCAGATGACAGTATTGTTTCAACATTATATCCTTCATTTTTTGCCCATTGTTTTACATAATCATCATTCAGTATAACAATAGCAACAAGATAATTTTCAAATGAATCACCATAAACAAATATTTGAGAAATAAATCGACTGCGTGCATAAACATCTTCAATTTTTTCTGGTGCTACATATTCACCTTGACTTAGCTATAAAATAAGCGGAGAAAAAAAAATTGAATTTAAAAAAATTTTCTTCAAAGTTAAAACATTTCATAGTTAATTTTCGAGTATATTTTAAATATCAATCATAGCTCATCTTCACCTTAATTAATTGATGATGTCTTTCAACTAAATTTTTATCAAATCTTGTAAATAACGAGTTATTGAAAATAAATTAGGAAAAAATTGTTCGTTCAGTTTTCAAACACTGAAAGAAACCTGCAAATATTTAAAAACATTGAGTTTAAGCCAGAATTTTGTATTGGTTCTGACTATAAGTTCAAAATTTCTCGCGAGTTATGAATCTAACTCCTCGAGGCGCAAATATTAAATTTCAACATAGAAAATTGACACCTTTTTTTTGCGGCAATAGTTTTCTTGACTACATTCATTTTATTACCGACATTTGAGCATAGAATCAAAGGCAAGATTTCTTTCTACAAAATAATGTAAAAATCAATCACGAATGGTCGAGCTCACTGTACAAGTCTGATTTTCAAAGAAAACAGAACTTATAAGAATTCTTCTGAAGACTATGAATGGAATATTAATATGCCGAAGTTTTATTCTACTTTAACCTATAGGGCTGAAACATTTACCAGAAGTGTTTCCCGCTAGGATCATTTATTCTTTTCAGCCTAAATGGACTATTCTAAGTAGTAAATCTATTTTAGGAGAGGAAGAGAAAAAAGAGCCTTAAAATACTGAAAAGTGAGTGAACACTATGTCTTATTACTTCTCGATCGTTCGTAAGTTTTACCTATTGTTTTGGCGCACGTATTCACGTACTTTTCAAACTTTAGTTCCTTTTACATTTTCACTTGTAGAATAGCAATTATTCTATTAATGTCTTGGATGAACATCTGAACGTTATCTTTAAGAGCTCATTTATTGAGTATACTATACAAAAAGGGACATCGGATTGAATAACTAAAAGATATCCTTTATTGAGTATTCAAAACTTAAATGAATAATCACGATAAATAAATACTCATACTAACCTTATACATATTTTTCTTTCGATCAACTATTTTCATTGTCTTATATGGTGTCCATTGACCAATATCACCTGTATGTAACCATCCTTCTTCATCAATTGCTTCACGTGTTTTAGCTTCGTCTTTCAAATATCCTTTAAATAAAGTTGGACTTCGAAAACATATTTCTCCAATACCATCTTTAGCATAACACTCTTTTTCAGGTACATCAACTAATTTAACATAACTCCTTAATATTGGAATACCAATTTCACCTGATTCAGTATCATTGATTGTTTGTGAAAATATAATTACACATTCTGTTTGACCGCAACATTCAATGAATGGACATGAAAATGCAGCACGTGAAAATCGACAAACTTCAGGTGAAAGTGGTGCACCTGTTACAAGAACACGATTTATTTTACCACCAAATGATTGACGAATTTTTTCAAAAATAATTTTATCCCATATTGTATTTTGTGCAAAACTTCCACGTCGAATAAGTGCTAATTTACCTTGAACAGACAATTGAAATAAAATGCGACCAAGTATACCTTTTTTACGTAAGTCCAATCGAACTTTATCATACAATCTATTAAGTAAACGAGGTACCATTGCAAGAGTTGTTGGTCGAAAATCATGAAAATCATCGACCAATTTCTCAACTTTGCCTTGCCAAAAACCAATTTCTCCACCTAGAAAATTAAGAGAAAATATTACATGAGTATACTCTTCTCATCTCTTGTCGGAATATTTGAAAAACTGTTTATTCGAAAGATTTGAAATTTGCAGAACAAGTAAGTCTTGGCGAGTAGAAAAAAAACTCCTCGTAGACTTCAGATTCACCGATACTGTCTTCTATGAAATATTGTGATCGCAATGATTCCAATTTTCGTCTCAGATGCAATGTTTGATCGAGATCAACATTTTAAAAAAATACTAGATGCTGTTCGGTATGGGTATCCTTCTATTTTCTCTCTCTAAAAAAATAATCAAAATACTAAAGGTAGGCATACAAAAGCATGTTCTCGTGACATCTAGGTAGCGAAATCAATAGAATAATACTTTTTTCAAACAGAAACGAAATTCCCATTCTAAACAGTTTATAGTATATGTGAAAAAAATTTTCAGTTCGATTGAACGTACTAGACCAGAGAAATGGATGCGTTTTTGCATTACTTTTCATTGAAAAGTTGTTTTGAAGGAAACATGACACGATGTACAGTCTAGTTAAGTTGATTTCGTCTAGAATTTTTTAACATCTAAAGAATATTTTAGAATTTCAAAATGTACTTGGCAGATAGGTATTAATTCAGACTATATAATGGCCTTAAAAAATAAAAATAAAAACATTGAAGCACGAAACGGGAGAAGGATACCCAAAACAATGTTTTTATGTCAACTATACCTAAATAAGTCATAGCAATGACCGTTCCAGAACCAAAGACATGTGCCAAGGGCAAATAATTTAATATTCGAGGAATGTCTTGAGTTTCTGACGTTGTCATAGTTAAATTAACAGAAACTAGCATACTAAGTACTGCATAGACAAAACTTTCATGTGCCAGAATACAACCTATATTCATAAAAATTTAATTTAAACATAATACGAAAATTAATCAATTTTTCTACCTTTTGGTTCTCCTGTACTTCCACTTGTATACATAATTACTGCTGTATCACTCGGTTTTGGTGGTACTAATTCAACTGGATTATTTCGACCAATTTCTCTTAATTTGTCAAGTGTAAGAAGATTTAAGTGTTTTTCTTCAGCTAATTTCATTAACTCATCTGTTGGTTCAATAAAACAAACAATTGTTTTCAATGCTAATGTTTCATCTTTCCATTCAATTAAATTTTTAACACGTTGTAAATTATCAGCAAAAATTAATTCAACAGCACTTTGACGTATGATAAATCTGACACCATCTCGACCAAGTGAATCATAAATACCTATTGGTACCATTGAATATGGCCAAGCCGAATAAAGACATAATGCATAATTGATTGATGCTGAGGAATAAATACCATAAATTGTTTCAGATGATGGTTGAAGACCACTATTCACTATACCACTACCAATTTCTTTGATGATTTCAAATACTTGTCTGAAAAACAAAGATTACATTTAATTATTCCAATCTGTATCATCTTACTTACTTATGAGAATAGGATTTAAATGTTTGATCAGATGATTGTCTATATGAGAAGTGTGGTCGATTACCACCTAATTGAATACCATGTAATATAACTTCATAAAGTGTTTTTGCATCAAGTGAAGAAAGATCTTGTGTTCCATTAGCAAAGTCCGGATGTACATATATGTGTTCCTTAGAATCTATTTCAACAGCACTTTTTGGTGGTAATGGTTTTTTGAAAAGTATTTGAAGCAATGAGAAAAGGTAGTTCAACAAAGCACTAATAACTACAACCAGTCCCGTGATTATGGAAACAAACATAATCGACATTATAGATTCTCTTAAATACAAATTACATACATTTAATAATATATGCGTGAATGTTTGATGTTTACGTGCCTCTCGACTCTGACATGACCCACTCTTTTTCGATAACATTCAAATGAGAATGTAGACGAAAAACATCTTTATCTATTTGAGCATTCTCTCTCATGTAGTTAGAAATATATAGTATACAATTTTTTTAATATTACTTCCTCATCTAACTTACAGTAGAAAGAATATACTTGTTAACTATAAGGTAACGATGCTAGACGCTTCCTACGCAAATTTATGTATTTATTCATGGCAATACAAAAATGAAGATAAAAAAGCAAAAATAGAAATCATTAAAGCATCAATAAGAAAGACTTTAAACATCGAAACTTCGAACTAGACGCATATGATGACGTGTGCTTCAAATGTCTTATTTTTATTTTACGTATCGAATAAATCTTTTTCTTCGTTCTTTGATACATATAAATGGAATGTATAGTAAATATTTGTTGTTTTATCTTATCGTCTAACGAAAATCACGTGTTATCATTACAAATATAGGAGTATCAAACGTTCATAGTGAAAGATAATATCAAACATATCTGATAGATATTCTGCAATGGCCGATTATAATTAAAATTAGTCATGATCTAAATCGATTGTGAATCGAGACTATACTTATTCGCAAATATATTCATATGAATAACAATAATATAAGAAAAGAACGGTAGACATTAACTTTTCTAATCGTTTGTTTGAAGTATTTTTTCATTTACTATTCGTATCTTCATATGAAATGTATAATGAATTAATGGTTGATAAGAAATAAAAGAAGTAACCGGCGTGACCAATAATGTTTCTGTCACGGTTACTAATATCAATCTGACGTGACCATAGTCATAAATCATAAAAACACTATCTGCCTATCATGACCTACTTTCATAAACTATTTATAGTATTAGCGGAGACGAGAGTGATCGATTCTCTTGTCAAAAGTAACAAGGATCTCTCGCAACAAAAATAAAAGTTTTTTAATATAAAATAACAAAAATTATCTCGTCAAGAGTATGACTAATAACTAAAACTAAGCTCAAAAATTGCCGTAATAATTTAGTACTACTATTACGATCCACAAAGAAAAGAAAAGTTATCAAAATAATTTAAAATGATGAGATTATTTGCGTGACAGTCGATCTAATCTTATTCATAAGAATTCTTTCTTCTAACTACATCTTTCAAACAATTATCCTTTCAGTAAGATATTGAAAATGTTCAATGATAAGGTTAAGAATGTGTTTTATTTTATACGATTTCCATTTACTAGAGACAAAACAATTTAACTAATTTTTTTGTCAATATATGTAAAATAAAATTTTATTCAAAGATATGTACGATTGAAAACATGTTTGAAAGATCTAGTCATGAACAAATGTGATAGAATTGCAATCTTCCTAAAAAATTCCAGGACACTCAAGAATTATTTTTCAAAATTTCACATTTGATTCGAATCAAACTATTTATAAATACATATATATATATATATATGCTAAGTGCTGCTAATGGTTAACCTATTGTATTCTATTAATAATAGAAGTTTTGCGTTAGTATAATATAAAACGAGTGCTTAACCAGTAAAGGCACCTATTCGATATATAAAGTTTAGTTCGAATGAAATATAAAATTGTGGAGAGCCATTCTTGAGTGTTCTAGAACTTTTTATGAGGATTGTATATCTACATGAAGATATTAATAGAGTATTTCAAACGTATGTAAATTAGAACGATAGAATGATTCTTTCATTAACTTACGGATTAGTCAATAGTTGTCTTATTCGATTCAAGTTCTTTTTAAACATATTTACGCATGTTTTCTCGACGAATCAAAAATATCTACTATACTATAATAATTAAGCAAATAGTATCCTCACACGGCTGCAAACTATAGTGACCTTTGAGCTCTTTTTCTGTTCTGTGCTCCTTTTCTTTTTCCTCTAAGAAGAGAAGCGATTATCGGCGTTTTTTTTTCTCTCAGATACGTGCTTGGTGTGTAACAACACTTACTTTATTTTTCATAGGAAGAGAGAATGACCGATTGTTTTCTTTATTAATACGCAAAGAAGATCAGAGGACTGGACATAAAATATTATTATTAACATTAATTGGTTGATGACAAAAATATTTCTATCTTCATTCACCTAAAATATGATCAATTCAAATTGAAGTTGGAATTAATTTTAACATTAATCATACATTTTGTGAAACTCCCGTATATTTTCGAAGAAAATAGTGAGTGTAAGTTGTAAGGTCAAGGTTTTGCGGCTCCCCTCCCCCTCCCCTTACAGACAGGCCTCCATTATAGACCATAGCAACGGAAGATAACATTACAGACATACCCTCAATTACAGACGGGCCCCCATTACAGACCTTATCGACCAGGTTTAAAATAATGGATATACATATGCATATATATATAACAGTTTCATTCGCCATATAATTCAATGCTTCTTATAATAAAAATGTAAAATTAAAGAAAAAAGAAGTGTTAAAAATGAAAAATACTGAGCGAACAGCAACAAAGAAAACGAAAATAAAGACGCCTGTCAGAAAATTAAAAAAATCGTGATTTTATACTATCTATATTTCATATTAGTATAATGAAGTTGAAGAATATACGTGAGTTCCACATTTCAGCCCCTTTTGGACTGCGCTAACAAGCTTTTTAATCTGAAATGAAAAAATAAAACATAGTTTGACAAATGCAAGACAGAGAAATATTATCATGGTTTTTGAGAAACCTTTTTTCTACGAAATCCCATATCAAAAAAAGAAAAGTTTGAACTGCTATTCACAAGTAATAAGATGAAATTTTTGATGAAGATTATGACTAACTCAAAAGAATCACGCAAAGTAGCATATTAAAAAGTATACTATCAACCTACATATTATATTCTTAACTATGTGAATACTTATTATTTCATAGTTTAAGGTTGTCATCAAGGCGAATAACAATAAGTATATAATGGATATAAAATGTATTTCATAGGTATTGCCTCTGTTTAGCACGTGAAGCATTGAGAACCTAAATAAAGTAAGGTAAAGTTTGGAACTTATGTTTATTGAATATCGGTATTTAAAGTCTTGAAGAAGATTTTAGTGTAGAAGAAAACAATTTCCAACTGTAATATGAGTAACTTATATTGAATGAAAGAAAATAATTTGTCATATAAATATATACGTCTTATTTAAACAAATTGTTTTTTCTTCATATCGCTAGATTATTGATACACTGCTCAGTGGCAACACGGTTGTTAATCAATGCTGGATTCAATACGACGGAAGTGATTTCTTTATATCGCAGTGCCATTTTTCATTACAAAACGTATTACAAGCAAGCTACTGTAATAAAAGATAGCGATAGAATCTTTTTGTTCAAGTCTTATGTAACGCAAAGAAAAGTAAGCATAGTTCTCTCTTAAAAAATTTTTCTAACATTAAGTTATCCATTCTGAAATTTTAATTAGCTGCTGTTTATCGATTTTTGGGATGCTTTCTAGAGTACATATAATGAATATATGTAAAATACACAACTTTCTTCTTCATTTCACAATGAAACAGTCATTTCTTGTGAAAGGACACACGTCAATCTCAGTAGATCGAATTTCATTCAGTAGATTTGAACTCCAATTGGATAGGATGATCAAATACTTTCTGAAGTTATCCGATTACTTATAGAGTTTCCCGTTGATGTTCATTTATCGAATTCATTAGGTTTTGTTCAAATGCAAATGTTTTAGAAACAATGAAATTTAACAAATAGAAACTATTATATTTGACATGACCTAATACTATCCTATGCCAAGAAATAATCAGACTTTGTTGTGTTAAATTATAGTTGAAATAATATTTGACGATAAAACTCTTTTAGTGTTTGGCATCGGGACATATTGGATTATATAAGAGTGGAACAGTTTCATTTGTTGAATTTCATTGATTTTTGATAGCCTGGATTCAGTCGAAAAGAGTTATATACTGTTATCGGACACAAATGAAAAGCTCTGTAATGCATTGGACATTAATACTGAGTGTTTCGTGGAAATAGTCATGATAAGTCATTGGATTCTGATCAAATCTCACTATCTTTAGTCAAGCGAAATCGATCAGAACTGGTGACGCAGTAAAGCTTTATTAGCCGTAATATCAATATCAAGAAGAATGAGATTCTAGTCGTGTAGTTGTTAGAGCAATCCATATTATGTTCCTAGAGACCTCAAGACCATATTTTACCTAATGTAGCATAGAACTTAGTACTCACCAGGCGTCTGCCTCTTGTCCTACAAATTATACCATTTTAAGCTCTATGCTGATATCATTTCTGTGACAAATCAACATTGTCTATGAACGCAGTCTATAAGATTTTCTTGGCTATGCGCGTATGCTATATATAATTTATTAAGTGCTATGTATTAGAACGACAGACCAATAAATTTGTCAGAACATCTTGTCGAGTACTTATAAGTTCTCAAAATATGATTATCAAACTTGTTCTATAAACTTTGAATGTTCTAGGCATATATTTAATATGTCTTCGGACTACAAGCAAAACAAAACTTCGGTGTTATTGAATTATTAGTTGGTATATAGCAAAAGTGTGAAAGCATATTGCGGACGTACGTTTGATACTAAAAACAAATTTCTGATACATGTAATACAGGCTGTTCACGTTATACTTGAACAAATTTTTGATCATTTTAGATCCTATTCCTTAGTATTAGTAGCATCTATTCTACACTGTAGATTCAAGATTAGGATCTTCAACTAGGCTTGATCTTCTAAATTTAAAATTGTTTACACGATGCTTCCAGGAGTCTATAGATATTTTGCTCATGTTCATGTATACTTATTCATTAAAGACCTCACATATTCTGATGAATGTCATCAACAACAAATAGATAAGAAAACTACGCGATTAAAACTTCCAGAACCAATCAAGTTTTTTTTCAAACAACTTTGAGCCTT